GTGCGTCTGCGCGGCCGTCGACGACTGTTTCCCGTTGGAAAAAAAATAGCACAATTTTCAACCGATTTCTCTCAAATTGGTTTAGAAACGGTGCATTAAATGTAACGAACGGGGGCTGCTGGCGGGGGCTACTCTGATCGGGATTTATCACGCCGAGGTAAACGCCGGCTTTCCGAAATGTTGTTGGTCCGCTGGCTATCGCGTACCTTATTCAGCCGAATACGGTCGGCTTTCGGCGGCAACGCGGGCAGTTTCCAGAACGCGACCAGCGGTAATGATCGACGGTATCGGTATTGATTTTCATCAAATCGGCCGAAGCGCGATACCATTCAGTCGGCCGCTCAGTCGTTCAGCCGTGGAATGCACCGCCGGAGGATTACTCTCTATTATCGACGCGATGCATATTGCGACGTCATAAAATCGCCGGTGGGGGGGAAGCGCCCGCAGGTAATCGAAAACGCACTCCGCCGCGCTCGTGTTCGACGCGCACCATTATCCTTTACGTGCGCATCAGCGGGCCCCACTTCGCGGAGTTATAAACAACTCGAACTTGCGAACATCCAGCGCCCATGGATTAATCACGACGAGCTCCTTCCGCGGCGCCGCGCCGCGCCGCGCCGGCTCGAATTTCTGGCACGGCGAAACGCGAGGAAGCACCACAGTGTTTTTCGAAAGTTCGCGCGAAAACCCGGCAACAGCCCACCTCCCGTTAGCCGGCAACAACAAATTAATCCGGTTACAAGGGGGGGATCAGACGATAATCGCACGAGTCCAAAGGGAGAAAAAATTTTATTACAGCGCGCACGCGGAGGAGAGAGGATATTATATTTCCCGTCCCGGAAAACCAATTGCACACAATTTCGGTAGCAACGTTAAAAGACCGTGGTGTGTACCATACACCGTGCCGGATATATCACCGGATAAAGAGATACGTTCGCGCTTCTAGAGTTTCACACGCCTCACAGATTGCCACGCGCAACGCCGATATACGTGTACCATTGACGGCGACGTAGTCAAGAATGCACCTGAGAGAACATAAAATATTAGCGCGAGCTACTTTACTTCTCAATTTGATCCCATACGTCTCATCTTTGAGAGAGCCGCGGGAATACGAGCCGAATCGTATCTCCGCGCAAGCGGACATGTATGTACCCCCGGCGCTCAATCCAATTTTATTTATACCGCGCGCGCAACGCGTTGCTGGGACCAGGGGACGAGACGCGGAACGGGACGTTTATTAATGCCAGACACATGAATGATAAGGAGACCGAACTAGGCTTGATTACGTCACCGAACATGGGCCGACATTATTGCAACAAGTTAGTGAATCAGGTTATGATTAAGGATTCGCCTACGAGTTTACCGATCTTGATCGCACTAGCCCGCGATTGCCGCAAGCGCGAGTGAGGCGAATTTCAGCTACAACGGGCGCGAAGCTGGACCTCCAATCTCTTTCTGACCCCGTGAAAAATTGAAATTATAATAATTTATATTAATTATAATAATTAACATTAAGATGAAAAAAAAATTCCTTTCTCAATAATACATGTGATTGGCGCTGTGTCGATCCCGTTTTATGGTAGACCAAAGTGTAATAGCATTGAATCTGGAAATCTTTTCTGTGGGTGTGGCTTCGTACTTACTTAGAGCAAGTTTAAGTAACACGCACACCTTCGCCCCGTAATTGCTTCCTTTCCTAGACACGGCGTCGATGTAATTAGCGGATCAGGAATCCGTTCAATTATTGCTCGACTATCCCGATGAGTGTGATAAAAAATTCTCGGGGGTGGATGCATTTCTAAATATTTGCCGTTCTGTTGCACCGTTCCTTTTTTCGTCGTAATAATTGTAAGTGCCCCGTGCTTTAAAGTAGATTGCGGCGTTCGTTATTCCACCACCGGCTGTAAATAAGAAATGCGACCGTAAGCGGGGTAGGTCATTGTCGGGGGGGAAAGTTTCGACGCGGCGAGCGTATTTCGAGGACGACGATGCACATTTGACAAAGGCGCTTTTCGACGGGGATGAAAGCGACGGTGGACCCTAAATATATATACGCGCGCACCGAAAGTTCGCTATGAATAATTCGGCCTTTTTTGGCGGCCCTGCCGTCCGTATATGCGACGAACGTCAGTCAATCTCCGGCCCAGCCCGCATATAATTGACCTTGCAACTTTATTTCCTCCATCCCTATCTGCTCTATGCTCGCTGGCAGAAACGCATCGTCGCGATCGATCCGCGCCGAGCTCTCCGGGTCGGCGTTGGGAAACCCGATAACTCAGATACCAAGTGTTTACTGTTTGAGCGCAGTTCGTATCAAAGCTGCTGCAACAACGGGTATCTGGAATAGTGTGATAGCGGGTTTATAATCGTCGGCAAAATATAAAATAAACCCGCAGCTATGCCAGAAAACGGAAGACACGCACGACGACGTGCTGCGAGAACGACCTCGAATCGTCACGCGCCACCGCTCGAGGAGCGAAACCTCCAATAATCTCTTACCGTGTTTAATGAATCAGCGTTTCTAAGAGAATTATTGTCGGTATTATTATCAACGTTATTGATACATTGGACTTAACATAAAAAATATTCGATATTTTTGCGTGGTATATCAATGGCTTATATACAATTGCTCTTTGCGATTCCGTTTGCGGTAATAATTTGTAGAAAGTAAGAGATACAGTTTGAAACTCTGTTGAAATTCGAATGACGCGAGGATTTGAAAGGGATTGGGATTCGGCGACACGCGTTCCCTTCGTCGACACGATGGTATGTTTTTCAGATGATGTGATCGTTTCAGGATGGTCCAGCCTCCGCCTTGCCGTTGACCCAGACTCTGTCGAACATTTACGGCCGCAGATCGGCCAGTCCCGATGTTCCAGGCTCCGATCTAGACGAGACTCAGGTTCGTAAACGTGCAAATTTTGCGAAAGCAAATTGCAGATTTTTAAAACACATTTGCTCCCGCGCCGTGTGCTGTCGTCGCAAACTAAAGTGTCTGTTCTAGATCCTCGTAGTGACTGCCGTAACATGATTAACGAATACGTTCAGTGTTAATCCCCAATGAAGCGTAGTTGAGTGAACATTTTGAGTAAAGTGAGTTCTTCTCGTTCCGAAGCTATTAAAAGGCTGTTCAATTTAATCAATAATTGATAATTGCAAGTTAACTACAATGGTTCGTGTCCTCGTGTCCCGTGGGATTTGTGCGGATGTATTGATGTGCATGCGAAATAAGAAATGGTACAATTAATCGTTGCTCATATTTCGCGCGTAGCTCGGTAACGATTGTTCGTAGGTTTCGCAGCGGTAAGCTGGTTTTCTGTAGTTGAATATGCCTGAGAAGATCCCTGGCTTACCAACTTGTTCATTCGAAATATTCGTGGCAGCACAGCCCAGAGAATCTACTCGTAGTCCAAAGTCATCTCCGAGGCGGTTTCCAAGAAGCCTACATCTTTGGGCCCCGAAAAATAAATGTCTCATTCTTTCTTGCAAGAACACTTCTCAGTTTCTTTACGAAATATTATAATTATCAAATTAAATTTGAGCAAATAAGAAGTAGACAACAATCACGTCGGTATTCGTAAATTGATAAATTCTTCACTTCGAGTAATCTGTTATTTTCCAATTTTCTCTCTACAACTAATTACTTGTACTTGAGGTATGACTAATTTTAAGTTTAATCCAAACTGGTTTGTACGTTGCTGATTAAGAGGCGAGGAATTCCTTTATACGATCTCTCGTAACTGATCTTAAATAAATCTCAGAGAGAGAGGAGAGAGAGTGGGGGGAGAGAGAGGGGTATGCTTAGACTCTGAAACATCTGTTATCAGCCTTAATCGTTAGAGATACGTTTGGGAGCGTCTCTTATACTTCTCTTTACATCAGACATACATATATATCGTGACAGATGCAACGATACGCGCAATGTTCTCCCTGTTGTACGCGAAACTTTGCAATGAAACAGCCAGTGTTGTTTTTCGAAAATGCTGAAACATGATACATATTCGCGGTACACGAGTGTAATATGGAATGGCTGTTGCGAAAAATTTTATTACACGCGCGTAACTTAGCGTGTATTTACATATACGTGGCCGCACGATACGCGACCCACCATTGAAAAATCGGCGCCGGCCGCATTTTTATCATCACTTAAATCTATTCGATATGTACCGTAGTCCCCGGCTGTACTTGTCCGTTCGAGTAGCGCGCGGACGCGCGGGCGATATTTTCAGCATGGAAATAAAAGCGTCGATTTAATGCATATCTATCGTGTCTCGGCATTTCGCGGAAATCGGAATGAATATGCACAGTGCGTGCGCACTGTAAATCTCGATGAATACTCGACGGATTGCGTTTTCACCGGTGCCATCAACAATTTTCACAACTAGCACGAATTTATACCTCGCCGGCTTCTTTTTATCGGGAATTCTTCCACGTCAAAATACCGACAGACTCTCGTCGACAAGAATCGTAGATTCGCGACCTCTCGTTCCGGGCAAAATTTAATTACGGTAAACTCTTGCGATTATATACAATAACTAGGCTCGTTTAAATTAGCAGCAAATTCGGTCGGACGCACCAGTGCGCACTGGTGCACATTATGGCCCGTTCTATACTAATCTGAGTGTAAAGTGAAATGCAAATATATCGTATAATAAAACACTTGTTTTCCAAAGGGCACAGTAAATGTATTTCACGGTTCATAGCCCCTGTTTACATATTTATATTAAATATACATCTTTACTGTCTTAAAGTCAACCCAGTGAGAACACCAATGTCGAATCGATGTCAATGGGGTCGAAACCGCGTTCCAACCGTTAGTTTTCGAAAATAATTAAGTTATTTATTTTATTAAGTTACCATGTTCAACGTTCTGAATACTTTTAACATTTTATTGGAAAGTACTGCCAAGTTAACTTATTTAATACGAAATTTTATACGAATTAATTTTAATACAAAATGTAATGCAAAAAGTAAAGTTTCAAAAGTTTTCATTACTTTCGAAAATTTACGATCGGGACGCGGTTTCGACCCTGTTGACGTCAATTCGACGTTGATTCGACGTTAGTGTTCTCGTTGGGAATCAGTGTATTATCACTGAAAAGTAGCAGTAAATAGTTGACTGATCGTAATTATGAGCAGAGATGGTGAAGTTATCGTTACTTAAAAAGTAATGATTCGTTACTATTTCCGTTACTTTGTAATATTAAATACAATTTTATTTTTAAAATTGCAAGACCGAAAAAAATTTAAGGAGAAACGTTTTATAATATACTTAAAATTCAACCATATACAGTTCAAGTTATATCGTGCTAGTGAATTACGAATGGCTGGTCACATGACTCTTGGCGCCTCTCTCTCTCTCTCTCTCTCTCTCTCTCTCTCTCTCTCTCTCTCTCTCTCTCTCTCTCTCTCTCTCTCTCTCTCTCTCCCCCACCCTCCTAAAAGCTATCCACTTAAAACTATTGACTGAAGATTGAATATACGAAAATTATATTATAGACTAGTTTGGAATATAAAAAGTAGCGATAAAAGTAACTGTTAAATTCGTTACCATTACTGGAAAAATGTAACTACGTTACCATTACAGTTGCAGAAACAAAATGTAACGCTATTACCAGTTTGTTACCAAAAAAAGTAACTGCAACGGTGTTACAAGTAACTCATTACCTCCCCTGGTTATAGCACCGCAAATCGCAGCGACTTTAAGAGAGTACGTCGATTTATGTACGACTTTAATGGGCATTCTAAGTGTCCGTCCGACTGAATTCGCTATAATTAACACGTATTAACTTGGAGGAGCCAACGACGACTAGGCTCGGTTGAAGTACGCCGGCCAATTAAGAGCAACGGCGCAATTAACGCTCAAGGTGTTTTTGTATGATCCCACCGGCCTTTTGTTCCATTTGATATGCTAGTAATTATATTAATACAGGCCATGAAGTACCCAAGTAGCCGCTTTTTCGCTGCCTTCAAGGGGCTTAGCACGCACTTAAAGTTTAACATGAAAAGAGCATTCGTCTGCTTGAGTTTCTTAACGAAGACGATAAGGAGTTTACCTCGGTTAACTATAAACATAGAAATTAATTCGCTTTAACGTCAGCTGCAGACTGCAATTTTCCGCCGTCCTGCTCCTCATCCTTTCGCCATCGTTATGGCGCAAGACCTTGCCGCGCAATTCTTCGCTTCGTTTCAGAACACGATCGCGCCGCTCTCGATTATCTCCTCATGTTCTTCCTATCAAGTCCAAGGTTTCCTGCTGCTACGAGTCGCCGCATTGTGCCCCGGCATTGTGCTCGTAATGGACATCCGATTCGCAGAATAAAACCAGTCCGCGAGGCCATTTCGTGAAAAGACCGACGCGATAGACGGCTGTGCGTGACGGTTAATTAACCCCGCGCGCGAGGATATTTCGCGTATTGTTGCGCCCGCGAGTAAATTCTGAAGTGAATTCCGATGCGTGAAGCGGCAAGCTAAATGATAAATCGGACCAACGCAATTGCTATTCGCCAGCCAGCAGTTTCGGCCTCGCGGTCCCATAATTCGCCGTCCCGAGACTGCGAGCGTTAATTGGCGAACCAAGTCGGCCGTGGCCGTTATTTGCTGCGACCAACGCACCGATAGCCGCGACGACCCAGCTTGTAAACCGAACTGAAAATCAGCGTGTCGTCATTATTGATGCCGTTTCGCGGTCCGCGTATTTACAGGTGGAATACGACGAAATGCTTGAAACAGAACTGGGCCCCGGGGGGGGGGGGGGGGGGGGTTGCATTATGACGCATTCCGTTTGATTTCAGTAACCTGATTAACTTCCGGCTTGGATGTGCCGTGCTCAGGTTTGTTTAATCCATTAATGATCGAAACGTCGATACCGCCTGCCGTTGCACGGCATGAGGAAAAATATCCATTAACGGAACTTTATTATTGATCGCCATTTAACCAGCTCCTGGAACCGGCTCGCCCTTGTTTTTTGTTATTTTTTAATTAACTCGTTAGAAAACAGTGAGCGATATTGTTCACAGCGGTATGCACTTTGCCAGACAAGCGTCCTGACTCGAATTAGATTCCGAGTATTTATTAATTATTAATTGTATGATCAAATTTTATATTTAATATTGTATTATTTTATTATTATAATATGCGAGCGATATACCAATTGTACGTTTCGAAATTAAATTCGCTGTGTGGGAAAAATATGAAACCCAAGCCATAAACGATTGTCCACTTAGAACGCAATTCCGAAGACCCTACCGACCTCGCGGTGCGAAGTTTAATTAAGCGAAAGTTTAATCGGGCTGGACGTACATTCGCATGCGGACGCAATTTCTTCGGGCATCGGTCTCCAACCACTGTTGCGTCACCATCGTCTGAGAATTACATTTCGCGTCGCGGCCACTCGACACTAAATGACAATCGCCGGTCGAGCGCCACGAAATAAATTACGCGACTCGTTGAATTTATAAATAGCGCATGACTGTAACAATTAATCGCGCGGGTCTTTCAAATTTTCGGACCCGATCGGGGAAAAAGGAAGCGAGCTTTTTCGAGGGTCCTTAGTCCGCCGTCCAATCGCGAAGATGCTTCGGCGTCAGAATTAGACGGCAACGCCTTCCTCGGAAGCATCGGCACGCTATTGATACCAGCGTCGGGTCACTTTTACATCAGTACCTGCGCCGACGTCTTCCACGCCGAAGTGTAAAGCCGGGCTGCTCCGAAAAACAGCCAAGACGCGATCGTGTCGTCAAGTGCAATCGTTTGTTTCCACGGGCGCCGCTAATTGCACTTACCCGTCGACATTACATTGTTATTCCCCGTAAAAGTGTTCGCGAGATGCTTGGAACATGGACATTTATTTTGAGAACGTCAAAAACACAGTGTGATGTAAAGCTATCGAAGTGTATCTCCAACAAAAATGTATAACATGTTGATTCGAACGGGAGTATTTTTCTTACATTGCAAACTGTTTTTATACGTATAAAGTTAAAGGCATTTTTAAGATTTATGTTTAAAATGGTTACATTAAAGTGACGGTAACTTGAAAGCTTTTCGATTTATATTTATGTTGATTTTACGAATATGACGTAGAGAAAGGTGCCCTATTATAAGATAGGCTTTTATAATAATATGAGATAGCAGGTTTTCGGCATCCAAATTCAATCACAAATCTTTTTTCGCAACGGTTACACATCTATAAACAATGAATTTTCCACTAAACAGATTTCACTCCAAGGGCAATAAATTCATGGTAGAACCAACAAATGATGCCCTTAATTTAGCAGAAACCCCGCTGTCTCATATTAGGAGTCTACTCGTAATAGGGGATTTTCCTCTGTAGATAATTTTTCGCTAAGACAAAATCGTCGATTTCGTTAATATAATCTAGGATTCAGAATAAAGAAAAAAGGGGGGGGGGAATTTATTAATGGGCACAGTCAGAAATAATTGACTTTGCCTTCAAAAGCGGTCGTGTTTTTCTTGAAAGAGTTACGTCGCGATTCGATAAGAAATGCGGGACGAAGCGAAGGAAGAGAAATCTTACTGGAAGATTGTGTCATAAAAGAGAAACAAACGTAAAAGTCTGTGATTCGCGATTGAGCCCGACGAATCCCAGCGATGTCTGTCACGGTTAAAATTTCTTTCTTTCTGATGCCATAAAAACGCGAGATCGCGCGTCGCGTCGTCTACTAAAAACGCGTGTAAAAAGTGCTCTCTCAAAGAACGACGATATTGAAAAGTGGCAACGCGATGAGTTGAGGCATGGTGATATATAAAATCAAGGGATTTACGAAGGGATGCGTTTCCATGGAATAGAATGTTGATGGAGATTGCTCGCTGAAGTACCGAGTCTAAACTATTTCCCTCTCGCACGCGCGGTTCCTCCATAAACAATATGCGGCGGTGTTTGGTATTCTTGGAAGCCCGTAAGCGCTTCAATCACTCTGAAATTTTCCTTTGCCCGCGCTGCAAATTACGCTCGCGAGCATAGCAAGCATGTGTGGTGCGCGCCCGAACATTATCTATTCTTACACGGGTTCCCGCCAGTGTGAAAATACGGACGAAGATTTCGGTGAAGCGCAAAGTACACACGCGTGAAATAGTTATATTAAGCTTGAAATATTTTGCTACGATGTTACCAAAAGTTGAAATGCAAACTAATAGTTAACGGGCTCCGAATAACAGGTAAAATAAAAATAGCGGGGAATTTGAAATATTTCCTCTTTCAAACAACAATTCGTTTATCGCGGTGTATTTGAAAAAAAAAAAATGTTTCGGTTACGTGCAATTATCGTAAAACTGCGATATTGCGTGTGCGCTAGTTAAGTAATTTTTGCATAATTATTTGAGAATTATCGGTTAAAAGCCCGCCGATGGTCAAACCCAATTAATGCGTTTCGCCGATTTCGAATATTGTTTTCGCAGCCGCGTTTAATTCTCGACATAAATGCGCGCTCAACATCCCCTGTCAGCATCTTTATTCGCGTTCGGAGAATGCACTCGACAGTAATGATCGACACGACTATATCGGAAGAATACGGCGCATGTAGCGTAACAAGGAATACAGAGGCAGCCTGATACTTATGACACACTTTCAGAACACAAGACGCGGGAGAAAAGGGGGATTTGATTCGTGACATACATATATCCCCGACGTTCTTTTCACCATCGGTATCGATCCCCAGCGACGATGGGCACGCCCGCGATACTGAATTGAAAGCGTTCGAGCAGCGCGAACCAACGAAAACGGCGAGCAGCAGATTAACCGAATCGCAAAAATTTACCTCGAAGCCCGAAACGCGCTAGTTTGAACGCTAATTGAAAAGTTCAGAGCCCCGCGTTTGTAAGGATTTTCATAAAATGGAAGTAATAATTAAATCAAGAAGTTGTTACCGCGAGAGAAAGAGTTGAACTGTTTTTAACACGCTGATGGAAAAAATGGTTGCAGTTACCACAATCTCGCTATAATTTATAGTCATTTTAGGAGCCAACCACATATTTTTGTAATTCTTTATACTACGTAAGTTATGGTTGACCTAACAATGTATGTATTATAGTTCTCAATATTGATCCGTGCAACTTACGATATGGTTGTCATAACCAAATGAGCTATTAATTTGGTAAGCTGTACTATAAATATTGCAATAACAGCCACAAGTAAAATTTCGAATAACTATATGTAAAAGTAAGAATCGTATTTATATTGGAAATAATATTCTCCGCATTTTATTATACGATACACACTGCGTTCACTATGTTCTTTAGTTACATCACTTTGCACTCATAAAGAATTAATACAAGATGGCATCTTTCATCTGTTGGTTCCGCCATGAATTTATTGCCCTTAGAGTGAAATCGGTTCAGTAGAAAATTGCTTATTAGATCGCGTAACCGTTGCGAAGAAAGATTTGTGATTAAATTTGGACGTTAAAAACCCCACTATCTCGCATTAGAATCCTATCTCACAATAGACGACTTTCCTCTATTGGAATAAAATTCTCGAGCTCGAGTTAAAATAATGCGATCCTGCCTAGAATAATAGCTTCCGTAATGATTTCGTGAAATGAACGAAGCGCAAAGTGGCAACTGTTCAACAGATATTTACATGTTACAGTTTGCTCTTCCTTTCCTTCCACTGGCACTGCATAACGATTCTATTTCGCTTGAAATTTGCGCAACAGCAAATCGAGTGGACTTTTGACGGACAGCGTACAGTGAAAAAAAATATATATATATTTGGGATATCACGCGCGGCCGGACTGTTTTCGCACGATGATAGACTGGGTGTCGATCGTACGTCACTCAAGGCGTCGATTCAGTGATTACATGTTTGCCGTGCCGGCTAAAATACGAAAACGTCGAAGGGCGAAGCGACACGCCAATTCAACGCCGAGTTCGCCCAACAATCGTGGCGCGAATAATGCGATTTCGCGTAACTTTGAGAACGGCGGGGGTGTTTGCGAGTGCTGCTGGAATCACGTAAGTTCTAGCGCAAGTAAGCGTAAGACAGTATTAGATCGTAACGGCGGAATCCCGCGCTGTGGGAGCGGGAGAGACCGCGCGGCCGGTTAACGTTGAGAAAATTCGCACTAAATTATCTCCGCAGGTGTCGAGAAAAATGTGCATCTCTTAACTATAGCGTTCTCAATGGGAAGAAAGCATTTCGCGATTGCCAAAACGCTTGTGCCAAGTTGCTCGTTAAGATATTAGTATTTATGTGCCGGCGGGCCAGGCTTTTTTACGACCTTTTGGTGCGCGGGATAACAACGTAATGAAATTGTTCTCTTCTGCGTTGCAGAAAACGAGGTTTGACGGCACGGGGGTGGAGGAACAATTACCACCGCCGCCGTCGCCACCCCAATTGAAAGAGGCGGCCCAACTAGATGGAGTTCCCAGACTGAATTCGGTCGACCGTATCCTTCATCCGGACGGTATCCCGCACATCGGTCATGAGACGCTCAACAAGGTAAGTGTTTGCCGCGATAAGAAAAAAGTGTGCAAACTTCTGTTACTAACGTACCGTACGTTAGACGCCTATTTTATATACAGTGTGTTAAAGAAAGACCGGAACCCCTGAATAACTCCGAAAATATGCAAGGTAGAAAAACGTATTTCAGACAAGAGTTGCCGTATTTTGAATGACGCATTACGCAGTAATACCAGTATGACTTTGGAGAGCTTTGTCAAGGCCACGTGAAGGTCGTCTTAAATTTCTTAAATGAAACCCGCTATTGTTTGTTATACTATTATATTCTACTAATTAATATGAATAACTTTTGTCCGAAACATTTTTTTATTTGCCCAATACTTTTTGAGATATTCAAGGAAAAATTGATAACTTTTTCAATATTTAGCTTGTGATATCTCAAAAAGTATTAGCCAAATCAAACAATGTTTCAGACAAAAGTTGTTCATAGTAATTAGTGAAATAAAACAGTATAATAAACAATAGGGGGTCCCATTTAAGAAATTTAAGATGTCCTTCAGGGGACCTTGACAAAGCTCTTCAAGGTCAGACTGGTATTACTGCGTAATGCGTCATTTCAAATGCTGCAACTCTTGTCCGAAACATTTTTTCTATCTTGCATATTTTCGGAGTTATTCAGAGGTTCCGGTCTTTTTTTAACACTCTGTATAAAATGTTAAACGTGTAGCGAGAGAACGGGAGTCCGGTTTTCACGTAAACGTTTGCCTACATTTTTTCGCTTTCAAATTCGGCACAAATGGGGGGATGAGGTGGCAGATAAGAAGGGTCGCGCGGTAAGGATTGACGCGCATGCGTGCGCGAGCTCGGAATGTTCGCCACCTACGTTTTCACCCCTGAAGATACTCGCCCTTACCGCGGGATCGATGAGCGCGATTCCTCCTGCGGTTGGTAACGGTCGGAGAACGTACCCTCCGCGTTAGCGGGTGCCACGAGTATTGACAAACGTTAACGAATCGTGAAATCGTAAGACTTAGCGTACACGCTTTGTGCGTGCGACCTCAACACTCTCGCGTGTCGACGCAATCAGAGAAATTATTCAGCGCTACCGTGAATCTCGGCGTGTACAATTTAATGAGAATTAAATTGAATCGAAAACGGATTCAGTGAACGGATCTCGAACGATTCCGCGCCTCTAAATCGCAATTAACACCCAGTTGTGACCTTGTCGAGGTAGTCTCGACGTTCCAATCTCGTTTAGAATATCTCAAGACCGCCACTCGCCGAACCACCCTCGGAATAGCCTGCCGCACCCTCCGGCAGAGGGCGGTGGACGACGGCGCGAGGTCATCCCGGGGATTCCCCGGGAAGCCGCGCGGTCTCGCTACGGTCTGTCACGTGGTAAGATCGAGGTCTGCATTACCCTACCCCCCGGTTGGCTGTCCGCAACACGTGGACAAAACAGTTCTGCCGCGACTTTGCAGCCCGTCGGCCTCGGGAGTCGGACACGCGACGGTGCTCGCGAGCGGGCGGTTCGGTCGCAACAGTTCCGGCGAACGTGCGGTGCGTTTATCCCGTTGGGACCGCGTGGCCGCCGAGGTGACGACGACGAGGGCTCCTTCGTACGTGGCGGCGGGTTCTAGAGAGGGAGAGAAGGAGAGAGGGGTGTTTCCTCGCGTCCGACCCGACGTCCTTGGACACTCGGGTGTGAAAAACCGAAAGGCATTATTGATCGTACTTCGCGGGGGTGCAATGTTTTTCTATCGCCAGCAGCCGCGGTCGATAGCGGGACCGATATGTAGGGCGGGATATTTCGCGGTCGCGCATCCGGATCGCTCGATATAATCGGCGCGGAGTGAAGTTGCACGATTTCCGGATTCGCCGTCGCGTCTTCCGGTTATTTAATCGCACGTAAACCGGGGTGCCAGCCGGGGGCAACCGGTCGGCCGGACACGTCGAATTTTCCCCGCAAACGCACACAATTATAACAACGGCCTTCGCTCGCGTATAAATAATTCGGGAATTAGGTTAATTAATTCGTTACCGTGCGTTATCGGCATCGCCACCGCTCCGGGATAATTACACGGCTTTAATTACGGAAAATTACACGAGTCTATGTGTATATGATAATGCCTATCGTTTCCAAAAATCACCTACGTAGTCGGACTTTGATCAAATTTACAATTCTTTTACAAATGCCATTAGACGCACTTCGTGCATTTATTGATGTTATTATATTATTTCTTTTATATATGGATCTTCTGTAATTGAGATTAATCGAAAGGTAGGACGTAGGACTAAAAGAATATCACGGTTACCCTTATATGACCGAACAATTCTTTATTGCAGAGAACTACGTAAGAGAGTAAGTGAGCAAGTGAGTAAGAGAGTAGGGGGGAAAGAGTGCGTTCGCAAAAGCGCACAGTTCGTCCAACAGAAAAGGATATAAAGAACAAAAATAGAAAGATACGAAAAGTATTCGCGCATAACAATTTCGCTATATCTTAATCTCTTGCACCTCGCTCTAAGACACCTATCGATACTGGGAATGTATCGAGGGTGCAGCAGATTCTACTTTGAAAACTGAGTTACCTTTCGAGGATTCGAAAACTCCGAGGGCGAAATTTCACTGGCACAATTTTCCATAGATATTCCACGAACGGAATTCATCGGACGAGACCATCGATATTGAATCCGAATCCATTAGGTCGGAGGGGAGGATCGTTAAATATAAATTATGCAGACGCGCGGCGCACAATGCGAGATAGCGTCGCGCGAAAATTCAATGGGCGCACCCCCTGCGTCGGGGAACGCGGATCATTTTCGCGAGATTAATCGTTGATCGCGAGTAACGCGCGAATTCAAGCTGCGAGGAGGTGGGAGGGCTCTTATCGCCCCCTACCCCAACCCCCTAAACGACGGTCGTTAAGAGAGAATGAGACGTGCATTCCGCGGCGACGGTTGCATTGCACAATCTCCTTTGCAGCACGCTCGCGCGACATACACAGGCGCGATTTGGGTGCGTAAGAAAGGGTGTAACGATACAGAGAACGCGCGGGGATGGTTGGGATCCTTTCATTCTCACTCAGCGTCGAATTGATATCTCGCATTGAGGACTCATTCACCCCCGCGGCTGCGACGCTTTTCTTTTCGCGACACTCTTTTCACTTAATCTTCCAGAAATTATAAACGCCAATATTTCCACGTGAAAATATTTGCTCGGCGCATTAATCTTTCCCAGCGCTAATACTAATCCCGCGGAAAAATATATATTTCAAAAAGTAGGTGAAAATATATGGTAATATATTTCATACATTTGGTATATAAAAATTCTATTAAAACAATCGTATATAATAGTATATGCCTATGTCAAAAATATACTGAAAATGTATGTGAAATATATGAACAATATTTAAATTATATTTTTATGATTTCGATACTCCACATCCACAGAAAAATATTTCCGGATCCAATGCTATTACACTTCAATGTATCAGAAAGTAGGTTCGATATAGCGCTAATCATATTTATTATAGGGAAAGGAATATTTTAATCTTAAATGAAAAATTCTAAAATCTAGAATAAAATGTTAGTATGTATCGTCTTTTGTCGAATATCGCGGTGCCAACTTTGTGCGTTGTAAGTCGGAGGGAAAATTTACTTTAAACGCAAGAATATATAAACTTGCATTTATATAAGTTACTTTTGTCTTAATATAGTAAGTCCATTTTTTTTAATTCGATAGAGGAGAATAAGGATTATTCGATTTTATTTTGATATCGTCTTATTTTTATATTAAATGAGATTGTGAGAAATATAAATGCGTCAAGAATATTTTGGTCTCGGTAACAGAAATCCTTTCTGAGGGTGCAGTGATGCACCAACCGCTTTAACCCGGCCAAATAATAGTTGGCGTCTTTGCAAAATAGGCGGATGCTATGACCTCCTCGTTCGATGAAAATTTCAGTCCTCCGAGCCAAACTTTGAGTTTAGGAAACAGAAAAAAAGTCACTGGGGATTTTACGCAATTTTCGGTTCTTCTGCTTGAACACTCATTTAGGGCCAGAATGAGCGTTTGAACGGATAAACCGGGAATTGTGTAAAATCGAGATACGACCTTGCGAAAGAGATCAGTCGATATGTTCCTCGTCGTAAATTTAAGCGTAAGCGACAGTTGATCAACATGAAATCGTTAAGCGCATTGATGCCCTCGAAAAGTATTTAGTCGATCGATGAAAAGTCTCTTATACTACGCCGGAAGTTCGCAAGTAGTCCGATAATTTTCTGCGAAACGATCCTATCCACGAGGGTTGCAAACGCTCGCTAAAGACCAAGTTTCAGCTACTTAAGACAAGAAGCACCGGTTATACGAAGGTAACTACAAACTCGTCGCGCGCCAAGAGGGTCGTTTCAGCGTTATACATAATTTATGTCGCGCGATAAATTACCATCCCCATCATCCGGTCTAACACGATGGGTCCGCTACGCGAACAGCGCGATAATATAATTTCATTTCCCGGCAACGATGACGCATGAATTGCCCGTGACGTCTTTTTCCACCCTTTTTCTCTCCGTTGTCTCCTCGACGCGAGCTCACCTTCGCTCCTTCTTTTCCAACTCGTGATTTATCGACGCGTTTTTTACACGAATCTTTCCAATTGCGCCGTCGCCGGAATCGAGGCCAGGTGAGGGGGTGTTCTAGACCAATCTTGAAAAAATAAACGCGGACAGAAGGAGACTTCTTCGTGTCTTCTTAAGTGCAAGATGATTTCATTAAATCCGTCCACACGTCTGTATCCATAAATTTCGTATCAACGTAGCGTGAGAAAAATATTCCGAAAATAATGCTTGGGAATAATTTCCTTGCCTAAAACTTGTAAGCCGCTTGCGTGAGAGACCGATTACGTTAGGCGAAAGATATACAACCGTCACCTGACTTGCTTTAGGCACGAAAATGTTATTAGCGGAAGTGATACATCTAGTCTGGATGAATGTGCAGATTTGAAACGGCGGATGTCCATTAAAATCTCGCAAGAAGTGAC